CAAAAGCATGCCGCTCCTCGTATACTATGCTTTCAGGATAAAAGTTATTGTAGAGGCTGAAGCTGTAGAAAACAGCTCGGTAATTCATCGAGAGCTTAAGATGCGTGCAAAAATGGGCCGTTTTACTCCCAAGTGTCCCGAACGAGACAAGCAGGCAATGGAGAGGTTTTCACAGCAGAGTGACCAAATATTTTATTTGTAATGAGAAATGGGAAGAGATTTTAGATTTTAACGAGAGAAGACGTTGCCTGAACTTAAAGGCTTTAATCACCAAATCTCTGACTAACATGGCGGCCAACTACAACCTTAGAATTGCAGGCTCGTGTATATAATTAAGTCTATTCACACTTTATGTACAATACAACGAATTATGCAACACTTCATATACAACAAAACGAATTATATGTCATGCAACACACGCAGTGTTCAAGTGTCTCAATTAGCTGTCAATCACACCACAACCAAGTTGAGTGAGATCGTCTTTCAATGCGTGGGAAGCAAAGAATCTGATTGGTGTTCAGAAATACATTGTTATCATGTCAATTTTAAAGCATGTCACGTAAAGAGCACTGCAGTAACGAAATTTACGGTCATTTCGCATTAACATTAAATTTGTACTTGTTTTTGAATCCCAAACCCTCGGCTATAAGCCGAATCCTGTTTGTTGTGAAAAAATTTCCCAAACTTTTGTGTCAAATACTGAAAAATCGCTCAGCTTATAGGTGAAGAAATACGGTAGCTCCCTTTGGGTTGATTCCTGCCCATACGTGTACTTTAAGTGGATGTTTAGGCTTTGGTTTTCTTTTCAATGGCTTGTCGACCTTTTGGTAGCATATAAGTCTGTATTGTTCCAGAAAGACTGAGCATTCATCAAAGAATATGACATTATGGAATGTATCATGAGAATCCAGGATTTTTTGTGCATACTCTAGTCTTTTCACCTTATTGGCTACTCTTATCAGTTGACAGTAATGGTTGCGCTGCAGCGTCCATCCCTGTTTGGCTCGCAATCTTCGCACTGTGCAGAAGTTCACAACGATTCCATGCTTGGCCAGTTGTTTTTGAATCTGAATGCTTGTTGCCTCATTGTTTATATGCATTTGCTTTTCAATAAAAGCTTTTGCATCTGCTGAAAGCTCTGTTGGCCTTCCTGATCGAGAGCAGTTTTCAGTGGATCCAGTTTTCTGTATTTTGTTGATGATCCTGGTGACACTTGCTAGGCTTGTGGATTTTCACATCTCAAGGCTTTCAATATTTGTACAGGATAAAATCCTTCCTTATGGACACAAGCAATTCCTTTTTCTCGTATATGAAGTAACCTTTGGCATGATTATGCTAAAACTGACTGTCAACAGTAGTCTCCCACAGGCACATTACATGCAAATACAGTTTGGTTGCCATGGGGATGCAATAACGCATTGCAACGCATTAAAAAAAAGTAAGCTTTGCACCCTCCCTGAGTACTGTTTTCACATGCTGTCTTTTTCTCGCTCTCACTATTCTCATTTGTTCGATAGTATCAAAATAAATATAGTCTTTCTCATAATTTGTCTTATTTTGTGTGATAGTGAACTTCCTTAACTGATGTGCAGCATACAAGTGGGAAACTTCAACCATAGCCGACTCTGTATGTAGCGAAACTGGCTTAAATTCATTATACTGCCCTTTTCACGCTGATAAAACAGACTTCAAATAGAATGATACACTAAGTTTACTTTCCTACTCACTCAGACAGTATCAGTCTGATGAAAAATTTGCCAAGCGGCACAATGTTGCCTCACCGATCTAACACTTAGCCATGGCGATATCTTAGCAACACAAACCATATATCACTTAGCTGCATTGATATGTCACTTAGTTTAAATGAGATATTGTTAGGTAGCAGCGATACAGCTGTTTCAACAAAGGTTGTCCAAAGAAAGTGTTAAAGCATACATGACAACGCCCGAAAGGTAGTCTGGGAAACATCCAATAAATTTCAATAAAATCTCAGAACAATGCCTCGACCATACAGCGAAGACTTGAGATGGCAGGCAATATGGATGAAGGAGTTTTTAAGATTACAACGTTGACGAGGTAGCGACTGCTTTGTACATGTTGCCAAAAACTATTCTTTGCTATGTATTAAAATGCCTAAATTCTGGTAAAGTGAAAGCAGAGACTTTGGGACGACTGTTAAATAGTTTTCTTATGCATTTGCACGTGGAGTTTAAAAAAAATAAGGGAGGGGTACTTGACCACCTGGAAAAACCCTCTCAGAAATTGCACAGCATATCTACTGAACCATTTTAGCCAAAAAAGCCTTTGTCAAATATTTCTTGTCAGTGCTACGTTTTGATTTTCCCCTGCTTATGTAAATTTAAGAATAAACATGTTTGATTATAATTGGAAAATTAAACGAGACTTACCTGTAAGTTGAAGTTTGATTGAGATTCTATCCGTCACCAAGCACTGAGGGATTACGTGAGATAGCATTGCGCCTGCGCGAACTCAGTTTTTAAAGCACTTGCCATGTGTGCAGGGGAAAGAAAACCCTGACCAGCAAAATGGGAGGGCCTTAAAAGGGAGGGCACGTAATCCCTCAGTGCTTGGTGACGGATAGAATTTCAATCAAACTTCAACTTACAGGTAAGTCTCGTTTAATTTTCCAATTCTATTCCGTCACCGCACTGAGGGCTCACGTGAGACTTCAAAGCTCACTGCACACATGAACAGAGTAATGACCAACCAAGCAAGTCATATTGGTCAAAAACAGTTTATTAACTTTACTCTTGTAACAAAACGTTAGAAAAGCTATCTGTGTTGATAAAAGGCTTGCTATAAAACTTTGCAAAAGTGTCAGATGAGCTCCATCCTGCAACTGATAAGATGTGCTCTAATGGTACAGATTTCAACAAAGCCTTAGATGTTGCGGCAGCCCTAGTACTGTGGGGCTTGAAAAGGTTTACATCAATTCCTGACTTTTGCATTACAGCTTTGACCCATCTACTGATGGTGTCCCGGGAAACTGGTTTAAATGGCTTGTAATGAATAATAAACAATTGTTGTGCACCTCCACGTAGAGAAGAGGTACGATTAAGATATGCCTTCAAGGTAGTGACAACACAAATGTTAGGGTTGTCTGGGTAAGCTTCAAACTTAACAACTGTGGGTTTCGACCCTGGCTTAGACTGTTTAATAGGCCTGGAGATAATAAAAGTCACAGAAGTTTCTGAAACAACCATGTCCTCCAAAGACAAGTAGTGAATTGTCTACCCCCGTTGAGCTGATACTAATGACATTAAAGTGACTAATTTTAAAGTCAGATCCTTTAGTGAGCAGTCTGTAATAGAGATTGTCTTAAGATAGTTCAGAACCTTGCTCACATCCCATGTCTCAGTATATCTTGGGTTGAAGGGTCTTGCTTCGTAAACTCCTTTTAAGAACCTCTTAACACTCTCTTGTGCTCCAAAAGTCATCCCGTCCACAGGCTTTAAGACACTGGATAGAGCAGACCTTGCAGTGTTAATACCACTGTAACGGATGCCTGACTCAAATAGCTCCACTAAAAAATCTAGTGCCTGGGGGACGGTGGCAGAAACTGGATCAATCTGTTTTTTATGACAATATGTAGTCCATCTTTTGATGTAAGATGAATACTGCTTTGTAGTTCCTTTCCTCCAGGACTGTAAGATGATGGAGGTTGCCTTTTGAGAAATTCCTTGTGTCTCATAGGACTGCCGGACAATCTGCATGCAATCAGAACCATTTTCCTAAATAGGGGGTGGACTTCTTGTGGCATCCCCGGCATTTGTAAGGCAGTTCGTTGTTGTGGTAACACTCTTGGAGCAGCCACTAACATGCAAAGAAGTTTGGGATACCAACTCTGGGTTGGCCACATTGGAACTATCATCAATCCCTCTGCACAATCGGTTTGTATTTTCTGTAGGCATCTTGCAATTAAACTGAAAGGAGGGAAAGCATAGAACAAGTGTTTATCCCATGTTACAGAAAATGCATCAATAAAGGCTGCCCCTGGGTCAGGTTTCCAGGATACATAGCATGGAACCTGATGATTTAGTCTGGATGCAAAGAAGTCTATGGAGGGCTCCCCCCAGATATCTGTGATCTGTTGGAAAATATCAGATCTTATCATCCATTCCTTGTTGTCTGAGAAAACGCGTGATTCCCGATCTGCCTCAACATTTTTGGTCCCTGGGATATGAGCAGCTGTTAACCATATTTTTTTTTCTATGCACCACTGCCAAATATCTTTAGCAATAGTGTGACATTCCCTAGAATGTACACCTCCCATAGCATTAACCCTTTCACTGCCACAGTTCTGACAAAGACTGTTTTCTGACTGCCAGGTTTTTTTTACTAGTAACCTCAAAAAATCACTCTCAATCTTTAATGGCTTATATCTCAGTCAGTTTTTAAGATATTAAAATGAAATTTTCAGGATAGTATCTGGAATAAACAAATATTTTTTCTACGTTGTCAGGGGGGGTGATCAGGTCATGTGACCTGACTTTCATTGCAAGGCATTATGGGTTTCTTAAAAATAACTATTTTACATTAAATTTCCCTTTCATTTCTCTTTGTATTTTTTACCTAAAACACTGAAAGGACTTAACTCAGCTGAACAATCTCTTCATCATAACTTTACAAAGTTACATTCAAGCATAAAGGCTAATATTCTTCCTAAAAAGTGATTTTTAGCAACAAGTTTGCTGTTGCACCACTAACAAATAATGACAGTGAATTTTATAAAGACAAAGAAACAAATATGTCTTAATATATTCTCCATCATAACAAACATGAGGGTTTATGTGTCATATCACACAGTGTGTTGTGTACAAGTGATACTGAGCAGTACCATAGTGTAATGTTTACAAGTTATACTGACACAAAGTGTGATAACGTTCAAAACAAGGAACAATGCATAATGCTATATCACACTGCTTGCAATAAAAAGAAGTTTGCACCCTTTTCTTATTTTTCCTGTCAGAGCAAACCCGTCAATCAAGTTTTTGCTTGGGGTTCTCATTTTTTCCTAGGAAATGGCGTCCAGTAAGTCTTAGAGGGTCTGGGGTATCTGAGGGCCTCCCATTTTGAGGCTGAGGCGGGTTCCAGTCCCTCAAAAGCCCAGTTATTTCTTGCTCTCTAAACTTTTTAGGGTTAACTCTTTTAGTGGAGTTTGCCTTCTTGTAAAGAATAAACCCATTTACGAGGGCAATTTCCCTGGCCCTATGGAAAAGGGTATGATACCATTTGACACACTTGTGAGGAAATTGGTATGTGCCTAGCATTTGGTCAAGGGTGTCGACCCCACCCATGTTTGAATTGTATCGATCAGCAATTACTGGCTTTTCAACTTCCCTATAACCCCCTTCCCCATTCTTACTTCTAACAGCCTTGTCTACTGTCAAATTATTCTCAACAGTACTCAAAAAGGTAACACGTTTTGTGTCTTGCCATGCACAGGCAACAAGATTATCTGAACGCATAAAAACAGGCGGTTCTCCCTTTTTTAGAGACAATCTTGATGGCAAGAGCTCTTTTGGCATTTGTTTCCGATTTACTTTCACAGTTCCACAGGCACCAATGTTCTCTTGCTCCAATTTCTTGAATAGAGATGGAGCAGAATAATAATTGTCCATGTAAACAATGTGGCCCTTGTCCTCGTATCCTTGCACTAATGACAAAACAACCTGTTTCGAAAGGCTGACCCCTTTATATTGAGGAAATGATGCTTTGCCAGTGTAGACAATGGACCTCAGGCAATAGCCAGTTTTTGCCTCAGCAAGCACAAACTGCTTGATCCCCCACCTTGTGGGCTTGGCTGGAAGGTACTGCCGAAAAAATAGTCTCCCCTTGAATTTGACCATACTTTCATCCAAGGAAAGGTCACGTGCTGGCTGATACCACTTTTCATAAGTTGGGTTGACTATGTCCAACAAAGGTTGAATCTTGAATAAAGGATTGTAACCTTCTTCACCCCTGGCAATTTGGTTGTCAATATTGTTAAAATGCAGAAATGCTTGTAACAGTTCAAACCTGTTGCGTGACATCACAGATGAAAATGGCAGGGCTGTCAACCAAAATCCACTCCAATAATCAGCATGGGCTGGTTTCTGGCAAAGCCCCATTGCAATTTGCAAAGCGAAAAAGGCTTTTATTTCATTAGGAGATGTGTCTTTCCAGGCTCGAAAACGAGAACAAGGCTTAAAATCAGCAGGCGTATCTAAATACTGTTGTGCATACCTGTTTTTCTCCCTTGAAATCAGTTCAAAAGCTTCATTTGGGAAGAAGAGATAAAAAAAGTCGACTGGGACATAATTAGATGCATCAACAAGTATTCCCGGCCATTTGTCAAAATTTTGAAGCCATGTGGACTCGAACGGATCAATATCCTCGTAAAATTCCCACTCTATTTCTCGCTCACGAGTGATACCACGTCTAGCTCCTCGTGCTCGCTGCAAATTTTCCTCGTCGGCTGACATGTCTGTGTCGAAATCATCAATGCTATTCTCCATTTGACCTTCAGAAGCCGATTCCATGTTGATTTCAGTGTCACTGGCGCTTTCGCTTTCTGAACCACTTGCTTCTTCTTCCATTTCAGAGTCACTGTCGCCAAAAATAGTATCCAAAGCCTCTTCAACAGTAAACCTTTGATTAGACGCCATATTTAAATGCCCAAAGTTGTAAACAAATAAAATATATGGATTTCTCGAGTCAAATATGAGCTAAATTTGCTTCGTTTCGAGTCGAAAATGAAACCAGCACGTGTTTTGATTAACCTGATCTAAGAAGCTATTTCATTGGTTAGTTAGAACAGGGACTATGATTCGTTCATTTTAATGCTATTGTTTGGGCAACTAAAGTCGCCCATGGCGGTCTATAGGTAAGGCGACTAAAGTCGCCCATGGCAGTGAAAGGGTTAATATAGTTCACAGTTGTAGAGTTATCAGAGTAAATCTTAACGTGAATGCCTTGCTCATTTTTGCAAAATGCCTTAAGTCCAAAAATTGCAGCTAACAGCTCCAGACAATTAATGTGATATTTTGCTTCTTCCTCTGACCATCTACCCCCTATTTTCTCTGTCTCTTTGACAGCTCCCCATCCTTTAGTTGATGCATCGGTGTAAATTATTACATCAACCTTTGAATTAGGCAATAATATGGGGTAGTTATTTGTCTGTATGTTATCATACCACCACTTTATCTCTGAAAAGCTTTCTTGGGATAATCTCATTTGAGCATTATAATTGCCATAGTTTTGTCTTAAGGCTGTAGTTTTATCCCTCTCAAGTTGTCTATAATACAGTGGTCCATATAAGATTCCAGGAAAACTTGACACTAAAAGCCCTATAAAGCTAGCTAGTTCCTGGATTGGGAGCTCAACAAGCTCCATCATTTTCTTGCATCTTTCCCTTATGCGCTGGATTTTTTCCTGTGTTAAGGAGACAGTCATATATTAACTGAATCCAAGACAAATCCCAGAAATGTAAGGACTTGAACTGGCTGTAAGACCGACTTATCAGGATGTAGGATAAAACCCAATGTTGAAAATAAGTCACAGGTATCATTAATATTGGCTTGGCAGTCCTCCACGCTCTCCCCTTGTAAATAAGAGTCATCAATATAGCCTACATTTAGGTGACCCTTCTGGCGCAGCTTAGCATACACTGGCTTAAGGATTTTTGTGAAGAGTCGGGGTGCACAAGCCAGACCATTTGGTAGACATGTAAACTGAAACAATCTACCTTTCCAGCAAAACCTCAGATATTTTTGATCATCTTTGTGAATTGGCACTGAGTAGTATGCGTCACGCAGGTCTACTGAGGCCATATAACAGTTTGGAGTCATAAGCCTTATTGCCGATTGTAAGGTATCCATCTTAAAATGTTGATACTCCACATGTTCATTCAAATTCTTCAAATTTAGAATTAATCTAAACCCTCCATCTTTCTTAGGGCGTATGAATATAGTAGAAATATATTCACCAGGGCAATGTGTGGTTTCTGAAATCACACCTTTGGTCAGCAGTTTATCAATTTCATTGTCAATGACCTCCTGCTCTGGTTTTGTAAAATTTATTTCTTTTGGTGGCATAAACTGCATTGGCTCTCCATTTTCAAACTCAATTTTATAATTTTTCACACTATTAAGTATGAAAGGATCTGAGGTTATGCATTGCCACTGAGAGGTAAATTGTTTCAGTCTTCCACCTGTAATTTTAATAGGTTGCTCTGACACATTTCTTACCTCAACGTTGTTAGCAGTCTGATTCATTTTGACTTCCCCTCCTTCTTCCTCTTGAAGTTCGGAGGATGTTTGTGGTCGTTTTTCCACGAGCCTAAAAAAGGCTTCCTGTAATGTTGGTTTCCTGAGCGTCCGCGGCTATGTGCGTAAGAGTTGTGCCTGTGATAATCAGGCTTGTTCGTTGATCGACCACTGTGTGTGGAGACTTTCTTTCCCACTCGATTGACCTCGGTCAATTCTTTCACTTGTTTCGGGAGATCATTGCCAAACAATTGGTTAGTGATCGGAACCGACGAGGAGCAAAGATGTTTGTATTCCTCGTGTAAATCCGGTTTAATAAATTCCCTTCGTCTTTGATTGAGTTCACTGTTTGCATTAGCGAACAATGTAAGTGCATCTGTTGACTTTTGAAGAAGGTCGTTTCCCGCTGGGAGTGACGACAAGTGCTCAAGGAGTTTGTCGATCATATTTGTCAACGTGCACATTCCTTTGAAGATGGATGTCTGCACCTTTTGCAGTCTAACATCTTGGGACCGGACTGTTGGAGTAAGGTGGTCCCATACTGGTTGATTGACTCGTACTTTTGTCAAGAATTCACAGTTCTCTGGTCTGTGATACTTGTTCAACTTTTCCTGAAGTTTCTCTTTAGGCAGCCCTTCTTTGAGCATGGCATTCACTACATTCACCAGCTCTGTGTTTACACTTGGGCCCGTCTCCTCTTTCTTCAGCTCTTGTTTCAAGCTGTTAAGTACCTCAAATTTTCCTTCATTAGAAGGCATATTTTGAGCCCCGGTTGAGTCAGCCAGCTTTGTCACAGCTTCTTCTAAGCTCGTAGTTTTGTCATGTCACTTCTTCTTCGTGGGGGGCTCTTCGCTGACCTCATGGTCATTCTCGGCAGATTTTGCCTCCTGTTCTTCCTCCGTGTCAACATATTGTATTTCAAAGTCTGACTGAAACTGTTTGAACGACTCAGCAATAGTCTTGGATAAATCTTGAGACATCTGGGTGAAACCCTGTCTCAGCGTAGCGGTCAGCTCTTGTAAACCATGTGAGTCAGTTTTGGCGCCATCGGAGCCATCACCTCTTTCGATGATTCTAACATTTGCTTCAATGTGTTCGCTTCTAGAGCCACTACTTTTCCTTTTTAAGTTGTCTTTCTAGCCCTTATCCGAGGTCCTGGGCATTTTTTGCGAATTATTGCTTAAAACTAAAATTCTCAGCATGTTGAAAAAACAAACGTCCATTCGCTCCAAAGGCGCCAACACACTGAGTTCGCGCAGGCGCAATGCTATCTCACTAGAGCCCTCAGTGCGGTGACGGAATAGAATTGTTGTCGCATTCCCGGACCAAGTTCTTGTTTGCTTAAGTATCGCTTCGGAGTTCACTGTGATCAACCACACAACTTCTGATTCTTGATTATTGGTTTATTAGATGAATTGAAGTATGCGGTGAGAACTAGGGGAAATTACAGAGATGCGCATTACGCAACGAATAACTAAATGAGAAAGAATCAATGGACAAACTAAATGATGAGCAAAAGCAACATCAAAAATGGAAAAAACTTACGTTATAATCCTTATAATCCTTCTAGGGGGGGTAGCACAGTACAATATCTCCGATGGCGATCGAATATCTCAATATCTCCACGAACTGAATATACGTATGATTGTGTTCTCTCCTCTAAAAATACTACGATCGGGTTACATTTGCGAAATACTAAAGAACCTACTAATAATCATTAACTTAACACGTGTGTAACGCAAGGCTTCTTATCCGTCACAATTATTATCATTATAATAACTCATATTAAAGCTGAGAACAATTGCCTTACAAAGATCTGAAGCAGACAGAGTACTTTTTAGGTCTGATGTTTGTCTCCTGGATCCCAAGATGTTGATGTTCTTGGATTAAAGTGGATTTGTATGTGTTTGTTTGTTGTCTAACACAACATTTCATTCTCTGTTTTACTATTACTTAGCCCTGATCGTTTAGTGGTATCACTGTTTTTTTTTTTTTAATTTTATTTTATCAGGACAAAAGACTTATGGTTACAAACGGTTATAGCCCAATCATTCTTTGCCTTTCCCATTCTTTGTACAGAAGGAATGATTGATCTTGGCCTTTATCAGGGGAAAGTCAGTGGAGCAACATTTGGTTAAGCATTTTATGGAATCAACCTGCGATCAGTGGTCATAGTGGGTACAAGAGAACATTTCACAATATTAGGATTTTGATCAAATTGTAAAATAATTGTTTCCACCCTTGTCCGAATTCTCTTTAAAAAATTCACTGTAAATAACCTGCCTCCATAAATTAATTTCTTCCTTTCATATTTGTCTTTTAGATAAAGCAGCTATCCACCACACACAAGCAGCGATTGACACAATTAATGCAACAGGAGCGATTGTTCTTTTTCTTCCGCCCTACAGTCCTGATTTCATGCTGTGTGAAGAACTTTTTGCACAAGTAAAGAGCTGGATCAGGGAAAATGATGTAGCCTGGCAATTTTGCATGGATCCAGAACTTATGGTTGAAGAAGCGTTTCTTCAAGTCACAGATGAAGAAATCAAAAACTACATTCAACATGCAGAATATTTTTAATGACTTTTTACAACAGTTACTATTCATATAAATCATGAATGTGGCTTCAATTATAAAGTGCTTAGTTCTGTCAACAGCTTGTCCTTTTGTGAGGAAAATTTGTTTTCATCAAGAACACCATCCTCTTTCAAACTCTTGAGGTCCTTCGGCTGCTGAAGGATGGCACAACAGATACATATCTAAACCAAAAATAAATCAGCTGATCAATTAAAACTGAATACATGCAGACATAAAAAATCCATCTGTAGGATAAATGTTAAGATGCCTACCTTTTTTCAATGTCCGTAGAATTCCCAGTAACCTCATTGCTGGATGGTTGGGTGTGTTTGACTGAACCTCTCCCCTTCCTAGTAAAAAATGGGACGTCCAAAGGGTTTTCTTCGTCGTTGTAGGTTCCATTTACCTGAAACAAAACAACAACACCAATACCTGCATTTTAATTGCCACTCTAATGAGCTCCAAGTGTTATGAGCAGCAATTAATACATTGAGGTTTGCTTCAAAAGTCGTAAAATAGTAAGTACAGTAGGTATCAAGCAATGTTTTCAGGAAAATCAGGGATTAGTGACATGGAAGGAAAGAAATGTAATATTATATTTGCTTCCCGATTATCACAGGCTTTGTTTCAGTGCACAATAATGCATGCGTTACTCCACATGCAGTTCATGCTATTTTTGTGTGTGCGTCCAAAATTTATATGAATAGCTGCCACATTTCTCCAACTCCTACTTTAAAGTTAATATTTCGACAACGTTACAAAATTCAAATGGTGCATTCTAATAATGAGGATTAATTTGCCTCAGCTAACTGGAAGTAATCCACGGGAAATTTAAATTTTCCTCACCATCATTCGTGCCCAGCATCGTAACTAGAATTCTGTAATCTTGTGTTCACTATCTTCTTCACTTTCACTCAGCACAGTATTGCAATTGGGTTTAGCTAATTTTAGAAAATGATAATGACAGTGAAAAAAAAACCCTGCATGTTGAGCTTCAAGTGCGGTCAAGTCGTTTTTTACATTGGCATAAGCCTCTCCTATACACCAGTCAAGGATGAACTGATCTTTTTTGTTGTTTATTTCGCAGAAACACATAATGCTTGAAATCAAAAACTCAACTAAACCAGTAAGGGAGGTTTTCTGCAAACAGAAAATACGCTTAGAACAAACAAAATTACAATATACACAAATGCAATGAAAACTCACCAACTGTTCAAGCTTAGGGTTTCTATGAACAACTATAATTCACTGTAACAGATATCTCAACATGTACGCAACAATTTTCCTTACAAAAGCACATGGGCGATTGCCTGGATGTTTTACGTAAAACATAGGCCCGCAATGGGAGCTACATTTTGAGTTTCAGGACTTGAATTAAATTATTATTAAATTTAAATTTATACCGCGCAGTTTCTATAAAAATATTCAACTGCGCCTTACAATAAATATTAAATTAGAAATGGTGTGTGTTCAAAATTACAATTCTAAAATAATGCAGTTCAATTATAAAAACTATAGAACTAATTAAACGCCCTATTAAATAAAAAAGTTTTAAGTCTAATTTTAAAAATATCTAAACTGGAAATAGATCTTATTGTGGTAGGAAACAAAGTCTAAACCACAACTAAACGATCTATCTGCCAGGGTCTTCTTGGATATTATCTTCGGGAAAGTTTAAAGCTGCAGAGTCATCGTTGCGCCTTAAATTATACCTAGATGGCGGCAAGATAGATATTAAATGGCGCAAGTAATCGGGCGCCATACCATGCAATACCTTAAATGACCTTGACCTTGACCTTGACCTTGAGTTGAAGACATTGTACTGGTAGTATATATATGGGCTTTCACTGCAGCCCTGGATAGGGCATTTGGTGGTGTGTGTTCCTCTCTTACTCATAGATGCACTGCAGATTTATGAATTGAGCAGCATGGAATTGTTAAAGTCCAGCTAAGGAGGTCAATCACATCTCTTTGTAGAAATTCGTTTCTTGAAAGTGGCTTTCCAAACAGTTTTAAACCAGTAGTGAGAGTTGAGGTGTTTCCAGTTAATTTGTTTATGCGCAGGTGTATCTCTCTCCAAAATTTATCTATGATGGGGCACTTGACCAGTACCTGTAGGACTGTGTCTACACTGTCACACAAGCGACAATTTGAGGTCAGCTAAACTCCCATTCAATTGAGGCTCAGTGCTGTGTGCAAGGTGCTATGTGCTATCTTCCAATTGACGTTGCCTTCTTTGTTTTTGGCCAGGGATGAGGAGAGTTTTCCTTTGATTTGAAAGGAACTAGGGTGCTGGTTGAAGATTGGTTGTTCAGTATTTTACTCCTGGTAGAGGGGCAATCAATAATTCAAAACCAAACAGGAACAATTTCTCATGTTCAGCTCTAGCATGAACTACAGCAAAACTTTGCTTCTCTGACTAACATGTATTAAATGTTCACAGATCACTGTCAGAACACAGAAATAACAAGCCCAGACACATCTTCTAGTGATAGTCTGATGCTAGTAATCAAACATGCCCGTGCTCCTTTTTCCCTAAGCAGGCTTGTGAACTCTTCAGCTAGTTCGGTGTAGTTACGGTAAGTTCTTGGTAACTCTAACAACGGGCCACAGGTGCAGGCAATTGGTCGCCGCAACTCGCCATCCATTGAGGTAAATGAAACTTCCTGGTGTTCAGGCTTTATATCGCTTTCCATAGTGAATTTCAGGAAAGTGCCCAGAGCAGGAGCATCCAGAGATCTAATAAACTTTTTGAGGTAGTCTAAGCACTGAGTCTTGGCTTCATTTTCTGGTTGACTCTGCGGCATTCTAGCAGTCTTCTTTGCTGATGGCATCCTGGCAGAAGAAAAGTCGTCCAGGCCAGTGAGGCTGCTGAACTCTCGGTACTGTTTGAGTTCTAACACTCTTCCTATTGCCGTCCATTCGCTTTTTTGAAAGTCGTGGTGAATACATGGTAACTTTTCTTTGTCACTGACCATGGTAGCTGCAAACAATTGTTGCCAGAACGTAACAACGACAATTCTTGCTACACCCAAACCTACACCCTCTTCAAGCTTTTCTCTTTCATTGATAATTCTGAAAGAAGAAACGCAATCCAACTAATCTCTGTTCTTAAACAGTGACATCATATCATCTTTCAGGCGGGAGGCTATTTTCAGGCTATTTTGACCATGGAACCTGT